GAGAGAGAGAGAGAGAGAGAGAGAGAGGTGGTGTGTGTCTCACACCAGGGTATACCGCACCCCATGGGCTAGAGTTCTGATCTCTTCGCTTGCAAGCAAAAGAGCTGATCTCCTGCGCGACGACCACGTTCTCCTTTCGTTCCCCTCGAGAACACTGAACTCTCCCGTCCACCGACAGTCTGCAGTGGAGACTTTCACCGGAGTATGTTGTACGCGTTTCGAGGGTAACAAGATTATCGCGTCCGCCTCGCTACTCCATTCTCAATTTACATTTCTCACTCTATAGATATAGATACGAATTGGTGGAATTTTTCGAAGTTGAACGCCGCGGTTGTAACGGAGTGGGGAGGGGTAGGGGGGAGGGGGAGAGGGGACGCGTTGTTATATTTTCAAAGAGGAATTTCACGCTGAGTGAATCGTGTATATTCGTGATATCGAGCGTCGTAAATATCCTTTCCCGAAAGGAAAAATCGAGCGTTAAAGCCTTGTCAAATCACGAGGAGAGGCCCATTTCAAAGCCTCCTCCTCCCTCCCTGAATACGAATTCGAATTCTATTGTTTAGGCTGGTACTTTGCCTTCGAAGACGATTTACAAGTCGGAATGGTTTACAGCATCTAAAATAGGTTCTTCTTCGAGTAGGAACTTTCGAAAGAGCCACGTTTCACGGCACACGGGCGCCTTCGCTAGAGGGGAGTACAATGATGTGCTCGTCCCCATCCCCACCATCCCCATTCCACTCCATCTTGCTCGGCACGTTTCTCATCTCGATGTCACGACAAATACCTTGCTTCCTTGTCGTCTGCATCTGATACAGTACTTTACCTTATGTATATACTTTGATACACGTATTGCGCGCACGCATGTAACATTTCGATTTTGATACGCTGCAGTTTGATGCACGAGGCTGTCGCGACGAGGAAAGCCGGCAAAAGTAGGAAAAGAAATGCTGCATGGAGAAGAGAGATGCGACGACACGTCCAGTGTTAGTCGAGTGGCACCGATGGTACCGTAACTCGTGGATTTGTCGGTTGTCCTGTTTCACCTGTATCTGCAGTTCACACCGGATCACGCCCTTCTTCTTTTACACCGCTCTCACTAACGGTTAATCGACGTCGACCACTTCTTGCGTTCGAAGGAGAATTGAACGTACGTACAGGTACCGCCATCGAGCGGCGATGTCGAGCAACGAATTTTGCCGCCACTTCCGTTCCCTCATGCCCAGATACTGTTGTTGACAAGGCAGCGTATGTACTTGCGAACCTGGAGAAGTTATGACGGCTCGAATTAGTTAGTTGGACATTTAGAAAGAATGGCAGTGCTACTTAACAAGTTGACGTTGAAACAGATCGTGCAAGCCTCTGCTCGATATGCGCATAAGAAGATTCATTGGGTTTGTATCTTTGTAACCCTCCGACCTATTAGACGCATTTACAAAACTATATGTATAATTGTTTCCACAGGCGAAACTGAAGAAAATGCAAACGGCAAAGGACAAAGCACTGGAACATTTTGACGAGTTCTACGCAAACGTTTATGGAAAAAAGTGGCCGGATATACGAGCCGCATTGTTGAAAGAAGAAACCAAATATATAGCTGTGGTCAACAATTTCAGTGATCCAGATAGAATCAAATCTGAGTTAGAGGTATATATTGTTATAACGCTAATGTTATTGTAAAATAATATTACAAGTGTTGAAGATTTGTAATCATTCCAGCTACTTGGTGCAATAAATTTAAAAACTTTGTACAGTGTACACAAAGAAAATTTAAATTATTTTGAAGCTAAAAGAAACGCCGAATCACAAGATGAGCAAAATTTAGAGGAGGTTACAACATCTGAAGATCAATTAGCAGAACTTCAGACAATTCATCCTGCTAATCGTCCAAATTTACTCGAAGCATTGAATGCTGAATCTACTGAATTTGTTAACAATGAGGGACAAGAACATATAGAATTAAAATCTATAGATGAAAATCTAAATGAAATCGAATTAGATACCAACCGTATTGTCACTTCATCTGTAGATTTGTCTATGCTTCAGGAATATATACCTGCTACCAAAATAAAAGGCTTGTTTAACTATAAAATTTCTTTAATTAAAACTGAGATATTCAATACTTACAAATTCATTTTACAGGTTTGGATGATTGGGTTTTAGAGTCTGATCATTATAAATTTTACAATAAAGCCAATGATTTCAGAATAAACGTTGAGAAAGAATCGGTTCTGTCATTTCCAGAATATTTGTATGCATATACCTTTGAAAGAGAAAATTACACTAGATTTCCAAATCCTAAAAAAGGATCTACTGGTGTTTCAGGTTTGTATTATTTTCTTTAAATTTCAATAATAATAATCTAAATATGTATATATTTTAGAATATTTTGTGAATTATTATACAAATACAAATGTAATTTATATTTTTCAGATTATTATTTGTTTGATGGTGGATCTATACTTCCTGTGTTGGCTCTAGATATACAATTTAATGATATGGTGCTTGATATGTGCGCTGCACCTGGAGGGAAAGCTTTAACTATATTTCAAACTCTTATGCCCCGTGTATTGGTTGCTAATGATGTTGAGCGATCTAGAGTAAACAGACTCAAGAATGTTATGAACGAATATGTTTCAAACATTTGTAAAGAGCAAAATATGTTAATTATAACACAACAAGATGCTAGATCAATTGATGAAAATGGTAGATATAATAAGGTGTCCATTTTTATACAATGTTTTCTACTGTTTGATATTTTGTGAGAGAAGCAACAATTCGTTTAATGTGTTTCTTAATCTTTTTTAGATTTTAGTTGATGTACCATGTACGACAGATAGACACATCTTACACTCTGATGACAACAATATTTTCAAGCCAAGTAGACTTAAGGAAAGATTAAAAATGCCGGAGATTCAGGCTGAGATTTTGACGTTAGTGGATGAAATACATTTTTTTTTCATACAGTCTTTTATTTTATAATAAGTAATTGGATTTTCTTTTTATAGGACTGCATTGAAATTAGTTTCAGTAGGAGGCACAGTTGTTTATTCAACGTGTTCTCTTAGTCCTGTACAAAATGATGGTGTTGTACAAGTAGCACTAAAAAAAGCATGGGAAGAAAATAATTGCGTTATGGTTGTAAAGTATGTATTTCATATATGTTTTTAAATATATAATATTATTTTCATTATTTAATATATTCTGTAATTTTCGTAGAGATATGACAGAAGCATTATTGCCTCTACAATGTATATATAACTTTGGTAGCATTAATTTAAAGTATGGTCATATTGTTATACCTACTCTTCAAAATAATTGGGGACCAATGTATTTTTGTAAGATGGAAAAATTATAATAAAGGTGAGTGATTGATAGTCTATTTGATAATTAAGATTATCAAATAGCTAAATAATTTATACTTCTAATACAATTTTTGTAAATGTGTAACATATTGTTTAAGAGATAGTACTTAATAAATATGTACGTGCATAATCGTAATGTAAAAAATTCATTATAATAAATAATGTGAAAAATGAAGATAATTTAATATATAAAAAAAAAATGTATTGAATTACGTAGGAAATTATGTAATGTAGGTGATACTTTGTTAATGGTATTAAATATTTTATTTATAATTTTTTTCACACAGTAAAATTATTAAAATAAATGTTTATGCAATATAAAGTCAAAGATTTGTTAAAAATTAGTTCAAATCATACATTCATTTCGTTGAGTTTTTTAATGGTAATGTTTGATCACTAGCTTCATCATCCTCTGGTTTAGTTTTGTTCCAAGGTTGTTCTTCTCCACTTCCAAAAATAGTATAGACTAATATCTCAATTATATATAGAGCGACAGTTGCGAAAAATATAATTCTCCATGCCTCTATAGTTTGCTATAAAAAAATTTGATATAATGTATTTTAATTCGAATAGTATTAGTGACAAGAAAATGCCCAATATTGAAAGATAAACCGAAAAAGTATACAGCTTTCAAGATGTAAAATAATACTTTGTGTAAATATATTAGGAAATTCTTATTCTATTATTCCATAATGTTTTATGGACGATCTTGGTCTATCATGTTGAGATGTTAGTGATGTTTTACAAATAAGTACTTACATTTCCATGTGTTAGTTTTCCAACAAATATTGGTACTACAAATCCAGGTATAGTAGCAACACAATTTGTAATGGCAACAAGAGTGCCAGCAAAATTTGGAGCAATATCAATATGATTTGATAAGAATCCACTATACATTCCACCGATACAAGTTACTCCAATAGTCATTAATGTGACAGCTAATGTTCGACTACAACCAACATATGATACTCCTATTAAGCAAAACATGGGAACAACAGATGCTGAAAATTAAAATATTTTTTACCAATTTTTTACTACCAAGCTCAGTTTTCAAATTACGCGTGTGAATAGTAGACTTACAAAATAATGTTCCAATTTTTCTAGACATTGTTACCGTGATTAATTTTTTATTCTGCATAGTGGCAAGTACTTTACTCAGAACCATAGTGAAAATCCACATACATAAAAATGGCATCGAAGAAAGACCAGCATTCTGTAAGGAAAAGGGAATTACTAGCAATATTAATTTTCAAAATTCTTACCCTTACTTATCGGGTAATGAGATACTTACGGAACTCATGTCGAATTTCAGTATTTGATTCATAAAAGTAGGCAATTCAATAAGCAACATGTACCAGCCAAAATTACTGCAAAAATGAGCGATTAAGATTGCCATGAATGGTTTGGATCGTAACACCTCGCCCCATGGAACTGCTAGTTTCTAAACAATATAATGAAAGAAGATATCAAATATACAGTACAAATATCTATCAAATACGATTTTTCTGAAATTTAATGAACCTCTTTGTGTTCGCCGTTATTTTCACTCTGTCCCAAGGATTGCATAATGTAATCCTTTTCCTCTTGGCTAATAAATCTTGTTTGCTTTTCTGGATTATCTTCAATCATAATCCACCACGCTACACACCAAAATAGGCAAAGTATACCTTCAATGTAGAATATCCAGGTCCATTCGAGATTTGCAGCCAGTATCCCCGTTAAGAGT